GGTGAATAGAAAGAGAAACGAGATAAAAAATGGTTTGAAAGCAAAGAAAAAGCTGTATATCATGAAGTTTAGAAGGCGAATATGCCTTTTATTTGAATGTATTTTTGTGAAATCTTTCGCGTGTACTTCGTTTTTACTAGAGTTGGGAAGTTCACGTGCGTTCGAAGAACTAGGTCATTTAATTGATTGAACCAACTAGTTCGAAATTTAAAATGAGCTATTGGTCCAGGTCGCCAATTTATATAAGTATGCATATGTATTTAGTGGAAGAAAATGCAAAAGGACTCAGCAACCAAAAAAAAATTCAAAAAACAGCAGTAATTTTTAGCCCCTTTAAATGTGCACATTTTATACTTAAATTATGTAGCTGCTAAAAAATCTGAGTAAGAATTTGAAAATTTTGATGAAAATTTATTTTTAAATTTGTTGGAATTGTGTGAGTTTTCCAAAAAACTTTAAAATTTGACTTATATGGTTTATGTTATACATTCAGCAATATTTTTATAAAAAATTTGCGTAAAGAAAGTAACATTTAAAATATTTGTAAATATTTTAAAAGTTATACATAGAAATTAAAGTAAATAGAAATTAAAAAATTTTAGTTGAGAAAAAGAAGTACACGCAAAGAATTTCACAAAAATGTGTTGAAATATTACTATTTTTGAAAAGTGCCATTTTGGCACTTTGTGCCAAATTGAAAAATTAAGTACCATTTGATGTAAAATAGTGCCAAAAATTGCACGGTTTGAGCCAAGTTGGCAGCCCTGTACGTAAATGAACGAAAATTTTAGCCATTTTCCGTTCGTTTCCGGATACAAAAAATTGTATGACAGCGGACTGTCGGCAAAATTTGCGTTTCTCTGCTGGTTGGGTACAGATATAAGATTCGTCCTACTAATATTAGGTCCATTCAACATCAAAAAATTGTTTCGCATTGTTACCAGTACTTACAAGTTTTTACTGGAAATGCATTCAATAACACAAAAAATTTGCAAGATAGAGCGGATTCGTAACCACTTGAGAAAGCTGCAATACTTGCAAGAAAATATTTTACTGGCAGGAATTTCCAGGGGTTAAAAAATAATGTTATGTTTCAAATTCAAATGTAAACGAGGACGGAAATAATCATAAGTTTTTAAAGTTTAACCAAAAAAATCAACGAGTTTTAATCATTGTAAAGCAATTTTAATTTTGACTATACTCACGTATGTTTTTGAACGCCCTATTACAATTTACAATGATAATTATTTTTCGAGTTTAACCAATAAATATTAAAGATAATAATTATTATTGAGATTTATTTTTTAATTAATTCATTCAAAAAACTCAAATGCTATACCAGCATGATTTCCAACGTATTCTTTCCAGAGGTAGCGACACCTTAATAAAGAGAATAAATCCCAAAACTTTCAGGTCAAAATTTCATAATAAAACTTAACAATAATTATTATCTCTGAGCGAAAAAAAAATAAAAATCATAAAATAATCATTATTTGTGATCAAAAAAATTATCAAATAATAATTATTAATTTTAAACAAAAAAAAAAAATCTAAAAAGAATGATGAACAATTGAAATCTAATGTATATTGTTTGATTTTTATGAAGATGAGAAATATTCCCAATTAAAAAGAAAATTGCACGACTTAACCATCAGAAAGTGTCAAAATGGCGTAAGTCGCAAGTTTTTACTAGTTTTGCGTTCAATAACTTTTTCTGATAATTTTCTCTTCTTACTCTATATTTTTCTTGTACGCTCTCGCTGCAAGTACCTAATTACAGGAAAAGTTATTGAATGAACGTATTATATAGTAACGCTAAAACGGCTAGATCTATTTGAATTTGTCACACATATGTAGCATATGCGTAGCCTGGGTTAACACAAAGGAACTTTTTTTAAAGAGAGTTGCTACCTTTTAAAAAAATTAAAATCAGTTAATAAATAAGGTAAGTAAATAAAGTATTACAACAGTGCAGATGTCAAACAAAAGAGTTTTAAAGCTATTTGATTCGCAAATATTTTTGTAAGGGGCTTGCCACCTTAAAAAAAAAGTTACAATCGAATAATTAATAAGTTAAATAAAGTATCACAATAATGTGGGCGCCAAAAGAAAAGGCTTAAACATGATTTAATTCAAAAATTTACTTTAATGAAATATTACTATATGCATGTCAAACGGAACAAGTTGAAACAAGGAGTTTTGAAGATGGTGTCACCTGTTTAAAAAATCGAATTCAAGTAAGCATTAATGATAAATCAAATATATGATATGAAACAAAGAGTGTTGTATTTTTTATTCGAATCCATTTTTTAAAAGAATGGCAGAATGAGAAAGTTATGTATTATACATTGTATACAACTACGAAAAGTAAGCGTTTTTTTATTCTGAAATGGCCAATGGTATGTATTATATTTTTAATATATTCGTTCGCATTCTTGATCATGCAAAACACAAATATTGAAAGTAATGTTTTTATAGAAAAATTAAAAATTGTAGATCTACGGAAGAAGTATAATTTTTACTCTATTTTTTTCTTTTAAAGCTAAGTCATTTTTGAATGCACTGTAATCTTTTGTAAAAGGCTAACCGCAAACGAGTAGCCGAAGGTTATCTGGTTATGTGGTTATATTTTTAATTCAGTTTACAACAATAAAATACACTACAGAATAATAATTTTTAACCAGATAACTTGATAACCAGGCAATTGTGAACAACCACAATGTGTTTGGCAAATGAATTTTATGAGAAGCTTTTAGAAAAAACGTTTTCTAATTTAGATGTTGCCCAGACTAGGGATCGAAACCAAGTCCTACGGCGGGGTAGTACGCACCTCTAGCCACGCAATCTGAGATTGAGCACAAACTAAGTTTAAGGTGAATTGCCAAACTGAAACCAAAGTAAAGGTATTGTATGTAAGCATTTACCAAAAAAAAAAATCGCTTATAGCTTTTGGCCAAGGCGAATTAATATAAGGTGATAGCAGGAGTACAAAAACCAAAATTTACATGTATTTTGTTTTTGCTTTGGTGGCATAAACTGTCAAAATCTGTAAGAGTGTGTGTAGAAATTCAAACAAAATTTTTCAATTTGATATCAGAAGCCGTGCGGCGAAACACATACACAAAATCAGCTGAGCTAGTAACACCACCTTATATAAATTCGCCTTGCATTTTGCGATATACACGAAGCTCTGAAAGTGCTAAAGAATACACTGTGCTTGTCTCAAGCCTCATTGAGCAATTTCTCTGCTTCTATGAATAATGCTCTGGCATTTTAGCTGAAACGTCACTATTATTACACAATTGAATTGCTAAATATTAGTATTTTTCTTAAATATATTTTGGGAAAATTTTATATTTTCAATAAAATTCCCCAAATCTATATAATGGAGGGTGAGTTCAAATCAAAGCAAAAAGTTTGAAATCTGGAGGAGTTAGTTGGAAAAAGGATTAGTTATAAAAGTAACTAAATAATACAGCGACAAAAGCGGAAAAGAGCAACGATAAAAATAGTTAGCGCCGCGTCAGATACATTCTATGTAGGTATGTACATATGTGAATATGTAAAAAAATGCTTGCAAAAAAAATAGTGCGGCAAAGGTGCCGGTACCAGTACTGCTGATGGTTGTTTTCCCCATCAAAGTTACCACGGTTAACAGCTAACGGGTGATTTTTTTGAGGTTAGGATTTTCATGCATTAGTATTTGACAGATCACGTGGGATTTCAGACATGGTGTCAAAGAGAAAGATGCTCAGTATGCTTTGACATTTCATCATGAATAGACTTACTAACGAGCAACGCTTGCAAATCATTGAATTTTATTACCAAAATCAGTGTTCGGTTCGAACACAACAAATTCGACAAATTTTGTTCAGCGATGAGGCTCATTTCTGGTTGAATGGCTTCGTAAATAAGCAAAATTGCCGCATTTGGAGTGAAGAGCAACCAGAAGCCGTTCAAGAACTGCCCATGCATCCCGAAAAATGCACTGTTTGGTGTGGTTTGTACGCTGGTGGAATCATTGGACCGTATTTTTTCAAAGATGCTGTTGGACGCAACGTTACGGTGATGGCGATCGCTATCGTTCGATGCTAACAAACTTTTTGTTGCCAAAAATGGAAGAACTGAACTTGGTTGACATGTGGTTTCAACAAGATGGCGCTACATGCCACACAGCTCGCGATTCTATGGCCATTTTGAGGGAAAACTTCGGAGAACAATTCATCTCAAGAAATGGACCGGTAAGTTGGCCACCAAGATCATGCGATTTGACGCCTTTAGACTATTTTTTGTGGGGCTACGTCAAGTCTAAAGTCTACAGAAATAAGCCAGCAACTATTCCAGCTTTGGAAGACAACATTTCCGAAGAAATTCGGGCTATTCCGGCCGAAATGCTCGAAAAAGTTGCCCAAAATTGGACTTTCCGAATGGACCACCTAAGACGCAGCCGCGGTCAACATTTAAATGAAATTATCTTCAAAAAGTAAATGTCATGGACCAATCTAACGTTTCAAATAAAGAACCGATGAGATTTTGCAAATTTTATGCGTTTTTTTTAAAAAAAAAGGTATCAAGCTCTTAAAAAATCACCCGTTATGAACATGCATACCATGTCTATCGATGCATGGATAAACACAAACATACATACATACATACATATTTACAAAGATACCGATATGCCGAAACAATAAATTGTCTAAACTGCCAATGAATATCGGTTTATGGATATGCGTGCGAAAATGAGTTTGCGTGCGCGATTGCCTGTGGGTGGCTAATTGAACTACGGTAGCACACACACACACATAACCACGCAGACACTACACTTGTACGCACTTAAATGCGCGCTTTTATTTTTGCACATTGCACCCACCATAGATGACCTACTTTGGCTGGTTGCTGAGAAGAAGGTTTTACTATGTTTGACTGAAACGCGTTATTTCATATAATTCACCATTGAGTAGCTACAAAAGCCTCAGTTAGACTTTGCTTGTGGTTTCGGCATGTTTTTAAAGAAATTAACAAAATGCGAGCGCGAGACGCTAAGGGCACAACGGCTCGAAACGCAACTGATAACAGCGCGCGCAAGAGCAGATAAAAGTAATTTTGAGTATTTTGTTTTTTTTTATTAAGAAAAAAAAAGGCTGTGAGTTTGCAAATATTTTAAGGAAGTGGTAAAAATAAAATTGAGGCGTGCGAAGTTCATTTTGGGGAAGACGGTCTTAAAGAAGGAAGGCTTTAAAGTGCATAATCAAAAGCAAAAATTGGAAGAAGATGTGTACAGTGAAAGTTACGGTGTTTTTGAAGACCTTATGATAGCGAATTCGTAGGTAATGGTTTTCGGGTGCAAGCTTTAATAAGCTTCACAGGCGTTGTGTGTTTAAGGGGAAGCTTTTTTTTTTTTAAATTTATTCTTTGCAGGGAATATTGAAATTTTGGGTATATGTATAGCTTTCTTCCTGTTGGAAGCTGAGACAAAAAAATAGGTAATAAACTTTTACATTCATGAGAAATGCACAAAAAAAAATTATGCCAAACTTTTACTAGTGGTTAATAAAAAAACAAAAATCGACACTCGCATCCCGACGGTTGATTTTTAGTTAATTTTTTCCATTTCAGAATTATAGGTTCTAAATATTAACCAAATCGGACCATAAATACGGGTTTTCCAAATATCTCAACATCTGCGCCACGTAGCGTACTAAGTCTCCTTTCATATTGCTTTGTCGTCGGGATCTGCGCCATGTTTGAAGTTTCTAGCTCATCGGGAAGTTGGTTAAAAATTGATTGCAAGATTTGATTACACACTTATACATTTTATATTATAAGCCAGTGACGATCAGAGAGAGCTTTTACTCTGCACTTCCATATAAAATCTACAGAATACTTTTAATAGGTTCTCCTGCGGACAAAGTTTTGGACAATTTGGGCCTGTTCGAGGCACGTAATAAAAGCAGCAACACTGAAGCGCTGATAAAAATTTGCAAGACTGTTGCAACTTCCTAATTGATAAAACGTTGCTAGAAATTCACAGCGAGCGTGATGCTTTATTAATTTGCGCAACACTGCGGTTGTGATTGCAACTCGAACAAGGCCCTTTTATTGAGGAAAATGCTTTCACATAGTGGGGGGGCGAGCAAAGAGCATCGAGCAAAGCGTCGATTTCAAACGCATATGTTTCAATGGGAAAGCGCATAGTGAAGAGCAAAGCGTACATAAACGTTTGTAATTGAAGCTTTGCTCAATGCTAGCTCTTCGCTTTGCTCAACGCTCCACTATGTTTTAACCCTTAAGCGTCCTATAGCAGTGTTGCCGAAAGAGACCGTTTATTAACTGCTAGCCGTATGTGAGTTTTTTCGAAAGCTTTCAAAAACTTGACACACGTGCGGGGTTGCCGCTGACGTATAAAAATATTTACCATCCACTTGAGAAAAATCTACCAAATCTGGAAAATATCTACCAATAATAATAAAGTCCTTTTAATAAAAGCTATAGTTTTGTTATTTTTTTTATTTATTTTAATTAAAACTATAGCCTTTTTTTTTTTTAGTTATTTCAATAAGAATTAAATTTGTTCTTTTATTTAACTAATTATACGGTATTTGAGTCATATTATTGGCATATTCGCAGTTTCCTTCAACCAAAAGCGGATGTGATGAAACCAAAGGCAACAACGAAACTTCATAATTTGAAAAACTTCAACTCGAGTTATTATAAACAAATACAGTGACTCAAAAAAAGCACTTGGTGATTTTTTTATTATTCGCAATATTTTTTAAGTAAACATTTTTGTTGCTTTAACTCCATAAAAATTAAGGATTCAAACTATATACAACATTTAGAAAAATTCAGAAAATTTGCGTCCAAATTTCGAATTTTTTACTCTGAATTTTTAGAACAATTTAAGGTACCGAGTTTTAAAGCAAATAATACTTGAGTATAGCTCACAATGTGCTTCCCGTTGATTTTTTATTTTAATTTTTTGCCGCCAGTCTTTTGTGTTTTTTTCTTTATTTAACAATTTCTATTGATAAAAAATGGCGTTGATTTAATTTTTTTTGCGAACAATCACAGTGCGTCATTACATACCCGTAAATTTTTTTTTTATATGTATTTAAATAATCATTTCATTTCCTCGGGATTCCAGTAAAATGAGTTTTGAATGGAGCACAATATGTTCGCCTTATATCGATATACATTTATGTATATGTATGTATGAAAGCATATAAAAAGTATGTAAAGAAATTTATAATATAAATATAACTACGAAAAATAAATCGGGAACGAAAAATTCAACAAAAATATAACAAAATGAGAAAAAATTTACCTTTTTACCAACCCAAGTTTTTTCTACCAATTTTGGTAACAATTTACCAAAGTGGCAACCCTGCAGACGTGCTTGTGCAGTTTCCATATGTGTTCTATAGATTTTAGGTAGACGTCTCTGTCTGGTCTTCACTCTATTATAAAGACCGCATAGGTCGAAAGCTCTCTTTAGACGATAAAACTTGTTGGCAAAAAAAAGCTATTGAACACTTTATGTCGGAAATAAGGCAGGGTTTACCGTGAGAATAAAAATTAAAGCTTAGTTATTACATTTAAATAACCTAGTATGTACCTTATTTTTATTCTCTTTGTAGGCTTCACTTATGTCGTAAATCCACCAGAAATTCCACGCGTAGCCTTCGGCTCCGGCATGGAGCGTATTACCCTACCGATTTCAGGGTCTGGTCTATCACCATTTATGCGTAAAATACAAGGCGAAGTGCGCGATTTTCCTGGCCCATTTGAATATTACAACACCAAGGGACTGGATAAAAAAGTAAATTGATTAAGAGGGTTTTCTTGCACTGAAGTTTTGTAGCTTTGCATCTCGCGTTCTTTTTACCTCTCCTTTTAGTATCCTTCAACTCTCGGCTTTTCATCTTTTGCAAGCAGACTACCACGCCTACCGCCCACTGAAGTATCGCGAAGCCCGTTCGCATACAACGTTGTGCCAAAGAAGAAACTCAAACAAGTGGCGTGTCCATTCAATGTGGGTACCAAGAGAGATGATCTAAAGAAACTGGTAACACCAAGGTGATTTAATTTTGCTTTTGCCCAACTCAATTATGTATATTGAATCCTTTCTTCCTCCACTTAGCCCAGCCGATTACGCATCTATCAAACCCAAACCCAGCATGAAGATATGCTCTGCTTTCGGTTCTAAACGCATCATTTGGCCTGCAGTTGCGATTATTTGCACGCCAATGAACACAGCAAAATGTTCGAAGTGCAATAAGACACCCATTGGCGATTATTATCATCAATTTCAATTGAATTTGGATATGTGTCGACGTTGCATGAATAAGCAGTTGCATATGCTGAAGCGTTGCTCCACGGATAAGTTCTATCGCGCGCGCATGCACTACGAATTGGATCTATACAAACCGGTGAGGTACTGCGGCTTCTTCCACGACCATCAAGGCACTACGGCTGCGATTCAGCATATGCCCATATCGACGCTGAAGTATAAAATCAAGACGGAAAATTATCTTTACATGTTTAAAAAGTGAGAGGACAAGGGAGAGGAGTATAATTTTATATGGTCTTTTATAAAGATTTGGAAAGCTATGGTTGGTAATAAAGGCATATTTTTAATGCATCGTTGTTTTTAAAGCTGTGTTTGGTGGTTAAATGAAAATATTTATGTACAGAAGAATACTTTGAAATCGATATGAAAAACAAAAATTATTAAGCTTTAAGGGAATGCTTTCAGTTAGGGTTGCCGCCGTTATGGTCTTTTTCAATGAAATTGCGGCATCTATGTTTTTTTTTTTGAAGTGGAATCTTTTATAAGAAAATAGGCAGTATGAATAAAAACTCAGCAATTGCCTTTGCTTTCATACCTTTTACTTAAATTTTGTTTGAATAAATCGAGTAAAAGGTCTGAAATTTTAAGAAAAAGCAATTGCTTATTTTTTTCATACGGTCCAATGCATAGGGCTGCCAGATATCTCTGTTGCCAAACCGGGACACCTTAGGGAGGGCCTCTCGCCCCCTTCTCTTTCATTTCGACGTGCGAAAGGATGTAGTGAAATTTTATTTTGACAGACAAAAAAAAAACATAAAAACATGAGATCATGAGATCATTCCAACGTACGCCAACAAAACAAAACAACTTATCACAACTAAAGCACAGAGAATTTTTCACAATGCATGAACCTTTTTTTATTCTTTATAAAAATACAGTTTATAATAAATATATGAAAAACATAAAAATAAAATTGTTAAACTTTGTGCTAAACTCGGGAAAATTCAATAAATTTGCATACAAATTTGCAACATTCAAATCAGACTTTTTATACAAATTTTTAAAATGAAGTTTTGCAGCCCATTAAATTTCAGTTGATTTTTGGTATTGTTTTTACTGAGAGTTTCTTCCATACAAACTATGTTCGATAATTCTTTTTATATGGAAGACACTGTCAGCAAAAAAAAAAATAAATGCTAAAAATCAACGAAATTTGCCGGCAACTTCAGACTTGCACTTTATTAATTGGCTCAAAAGGTACATTTTCAAAATTTTTCTAAAAGATCTGATTAGAAATTGTGATCTGATGAAAGAGCCTCCCAGCCAACAATTTTGTACAGCACTGTACTTATAAATACTCTAGGTCATGATAAAAACATAGCAAGGTAGAACCGTTCTCTCAATTTGTCGGCCATGATTTTTTTTTGAAGTTTGCCCATGGTGTAATAATAACAAGGTGTTGTCAGTAACTTAACCTCACTTTTTCGGCAGGTCTATTCCGGTCACGCATTTTAAAGTACTAGAAAAGGTACTAATTATTTACTACCTTTAATCCGTTGGTGCATACTATTCAAATTAAATGTAGCAAAATGTATAATTACAGGCTTATAAGCCTTAATATATGTTTGTATCGGCAGCTCCACACAGCTTGGACATATATTGTAACTTTAAAAAAGTAAAAGCCGTAAAATAAGGCAATTTCCTATAAGACTGTACATGATTTTCTAAATAGATGAAAACACATAAATATCGATAATATAAGCGAATTCCGAATTTAACCATGCAGCCACTCTATATCAATAGTTCATTTGGCTCAATATAATGGCAATGCAGCAAAAGTTCCCTGTGGGGAAAATCTCTAGTTCTGAACTGGGGCGCTTCTAGTACATTTAGACCCAGTACTGGTTCGCGATAAATCTCTTTTGCATGCAAGCAACTGGCGAATTTAACATGGCGATGTCCTAGGAAGTGTCAATTGCCCCCCGCTGCATCCCTTTTTCGATAGTTCCGAACTAGTCCTAAATTCTATAGTTCCGAACCAGTTCTGAAATCGACAGACGGATGAAAAAAGTATCATGATTTTTCAATCTTTTTGGTTCTTCAGTGTGTGCGATTTTAAGTTATTTTGGAAGAAATGTGTTTTCAATTTGAAATAAAATTTCTTTGAATGATTGTAAGAAATGTACGTTTACATACCTTTAGCTGTAGCTGAGTTTGCAGATGTACTCGCTGTTATTTCTTAGATTCCAGACGGTCCCAAGATGTTGAAATGTTAACACAAACTTTAGTTTTGTATTACCAAGCTATGAAAAAGCATCTGCGAAGCGCAGAATAGAAGCGTATTTGAACGAAAAAGCCGCCGAACACATATCTATGTAAAGTAAACAAGCCCCCCGCTGCATTCCTTATTCGATAGTTCCGAAATAGTTCTAAATTCGACAAATAAGATCTAGTTCGTTCTGCATCCCTTTTTCTATAGTTCCGAACCATTTCTAAATTCGTCACTTTAGATATCGATTTCTAGTGAAAAAACTGAAATAAATTATTTTTTTAAAAGTACCACTTTTCTCCGATTTTGGACTGGTGGGGATTTAGTTCATATCGGACTAATTCGTTTTTGGCGATAAAGACCTAGTACGGAACTAGAAATTTGATTCACTAGTCCGCGGTTTCCCTGCAGGGTTATTTAATATAAAAAAGCGCCTTTCCATACGATTTCTGGGTACGTTTTTTTTCCATTGATAACCACGATATCTTTTATTTTTCTACTTTTTGAGGACAAAAGCTATACAAATACAGCAATTTTAAATATTAATATTGTTCTGAAAACACCAAGTTCTTTAAAAATCGCGGTAAAACGAATTACTAAAATGGAGTATTTTAGATACTATTTCCCAACGAATAGTAGTATAAAAATTAAGATCGGCAGCACTGAAAATAAGCATGCCGATCTTGTCAAAATCACAACAAACACGTCGCTACTGACAACACCTTGTTATTATTCCACCATGAAGTTTGCCAACATTTTAAAATCATATAAAAGTGAAAATTAAAAATTGAAATTGTTCGAAATTGTTGTTGCTTGAGATAGATAATGAAAATGTGTTTGTGAGTTTGTGAGTAAATCTAAAAATTAAATTGTTTGGAAACGTCAAGAATTTTAAAAGTGACTCTCAGCGGTTCTACCTTACTCAAAATGTATTCAACAAAGTGTGATTGATTTTGACATTGCTCTTATAAGAAACAGGCTATAATGTCAAACTGAAATGAATTCTTAACCCATTTGAAATTTGTTTTTTTCAAATTTGAATTTGTTTACACACAAATTTTTCAAGCAACAAATTTTCTTAATAAACGTGAAATTGTTAAGAGATAAACCGCCGAGGAGAGCAAGTAAGTACATTTAAAGTTGGGTAATAAGTAAACACGTTCGACTTTTCTTAAATATTTAATGTAAGGAAACCTAGATGAAACGGAGCAAAACGTTTGAACGGTGCGCTGTATGCAATAAAAGTCAAGACACGAAAACAGTACGATGTTTTAAACCACCTAGTTGCGAGTTAAGACGGCAGCGTTGGGAAGAAAGCTATGGTATTGTACTACGTGATTCATCTCGCGTTTGTGAAAACCACTTCAAGTGATTTCATTAGTTGTCCGTCCGAATCAAGCACTTTCAAACGAGCTCGTTTATACCCAGACGCAGTCCCAATGCCATACGAAATAACTGAAACAAGTGAGGATTTAGAACGCGATCAGGATACATTTGTTGATGTCCAAACTCAAAGAGGCGACTCTTTAGAATGCACGTTGATAACAGAAATATTTCTTCTTACCGAAATAATTAAAACCATGCAAGCAAATATGGAAGAGCTTAATTTAAAACTGCTCGAAGCAAAGTCTTTAATGGAAAACTATTTTGCATGAAAAATTTAATTTCAAATTGTTAGAGTTAAGCTCACATATAAAATTGGAAACAAATGTAAAATCCTACTTTTATAAGTGTCGAATAATGTTTAGGATAAAAAATTTAAATATAAAAATAAACGCACAAAAGCATAAAACTTGGGCAATTAAAAACAAGAAAATTGCTAAAACTATTTTATAAACAATTTGTTTTATTTTATTGACAAAATATATATATTCCAGGTAATGTAAGTAAAACAAAACTATAATCGAAATAAAAGCCTAGGGCATCAGTGCTGACAAGATACATGCAAAACAAAGGGTTAATTCGTTTGTTTATCCTTTTTGACATAATAGTACCTTAAAAGAGAGCCGCACTGAATTGTCAATCACACCTTGTTTAATACACCTTGACCTTACTATATTTTTATCATGCTCTAGGTTTCATGAAAGAAAAAAATCAGTCATATTTTTCGTTGCTGTGAACTTGTTTCAAAACTTCTGTCTTTTCCTTAATATAATTGTAAAACTCTGTGCACGTCATTTTGAACGTATTTAGGTACCTATACTAATCATCGACTATTGCTTGTGCAAAGTTCAACTATCTCGAAATGTGACTATTTCACAAATTAAACCGGTGCACTGAGAGAAAGAAGTTTAGAATTAAAAAAGCGTGCTAAATTAAAAAAATAATACGCATATGAAAGAGCACCAACCCAACTCCTAGTAAATTTAAGTATACAAATTTTAGTATTTAGTATAGAAATATTCAATTCAAATACGCCCATACTAAAATGAAGCGATTTGCAATTACCGATTGCTTTTTCATAATTAAGTTAAAAAAATATTTAAATTCCATGCTGTTTGTAATGGGAATTGAACTCTGACCCTCTGGCAAATTGTGGCCAGATATGTAAATGTGCATTTAAATGTTGAGTTTGAATCAACACCACGCGTGCGTGTTATGAAAGTATTATTTTTAAATACGAATATTTTTAAACGATAATCAAATAGATAATATCCATGTTTACTAAGCATTATTTCCCTCAGTGAATTCATAACATTTTTCTGAATATTACAACGCGTTTTTTCTCTTAGTGTAGTGATTTTTGAACTTTAATTCAAATTTGTGAAATCAAATCAAAAACCGGGACACTAAAACGAAACCCGGGACATTTTAAGGTTGGACCGGGACACCGGGACAAATAGTCTAAAACCGGGACATGTCCGGGAAAACCGGGACATCTGGCAGCCCTATCCAATGCATGATACAAAAGAGAAGGTAGTTTCATTGTCACTTTTCGGGCGCCATATTAACTACCTGACAATTAAGCAGATTGTGACGTTTCGTGCTACCATACCTAATCCTCAATAATCATTTATTTAGTGTAAAAACTAAATATTTA